GGAAACTGACTTAACTTATACTTAACTTAGATTTCGCATACACATAATACGATTTTTAACCGGATTTTCGAAGTAAAAATCGGTTATTGATTTGGCGATGTACGGCGGTTGGGCGGGCGGCTGCAAAACAGTGTTCGTTCATTCACATGAAAATGCTTTGAAGAATTTTTTTTCAAATTTAGATATGTTGTTTCCTGTGACTAAATGAAGGTAAAGTTCAATTTTCGCGATTTTAGCTTTTCTCGTTAATCAGTAATAGCCCTTTTCCAAGAATTCAATTTTTGATGAATTAATCCATGTCTGTACGAAGGGAAACAACTCATTTTTTAAAAGATTTTTAAAAGACCTCGGGCTCACCTGATATTTTACCGTGATAAAGTCAGTATCAAAAATTGTATTAATGATAAATGACATTTTGGAATTTTTTTTCTTTTCTTTGTTTGAAGAATTTTGTGGTAGGTTTGTTTGTTATTCTGTATAAACTAATTTTCTGAATGCTATATTTGTTGTGTGTGTTAATTTTAATTTTTACTTGATCCTGTTTGGGGTTCCAGATTTGCAAATTCATTAGATAATAATCTATCTTTATTAAAGGATATATTTCATTACATTACATTGTGTAGATAAAGTTGTAGAATTTCATAGATAAGTTGCAGATCTATATTAGTTTGTTATAAATGAAAGAAAAAAATATTGGGAACTATTAACTATATATATAAAGTTTGATTACACTAAGCATGCTAAGTGTTTTTAAATGATCATCACCTTTTATCAAGATAACACACCATCTGGTTATTGTCAATCACCCAATTATAATGATAGTGACAGATTTATTTGAAAACTATTAATTATATTAGATTATAATTTGAAAATAAATATAACATCATATCTAATTACATCATATCTAATTTTAGAAAACTATAGTTAAATCATATTTAATTTTAGATTTACATTATTGGTTCATGGAAATAAAGATTAAGTTATTTCCCTTTGAACAGAAATGGTTTAACAAAGAAGTATTTCATCAAAAATTGAATTCTTGGGGTTCTTTGATATGCTGATTCTAGCAATGTACATAGATTTGGGATATTGGACCATAATTGATAAATGTCCAATTTCAAATTTTTTTATTCTTTAACCACATTTATTTTGTGTCACAAACCTATGCTGTATCAAATATTCACAATCCAAATTCAGAGCTGTTTTAAGCTTAAATGTTGTGTCCATACTTGCTCAACTGTTCAGGGTTCGACCTCTGCAGGAAAATCCGGTTTGTTGTCTCTCTGACAGCCTCTTGTTTACATTTTACTTCCTCTGGTAAACCGGAGATAATCAATGTTGACGTATATGTGCCCTTGCTCATGAACGTACTCGTACGATACTTACTTCATGCTTAATTTATGATAATTCTTATATGATTTGCATATATACAAATACTTGAATTAGGTTGGCCCGTTAGTATTTTTTCCCTTGGTTTAATTCGATAGACCATATTGCCGAAACTATGTTCGTAAATTTCATTGTGATCTATTCATGCGCGATACAGATGCATAGGGTTCAAGCAAATTGAGATTGAAACAAATACATAACTTTTATTTCTATTCTAATGAATAATAAAACGAAATAATGCATTAAAGTTTGTAAAATAAATAAATTTACAATAAAAGAAAATTCCGCGAAATTTTATGAATGAGCTTGGCGCATCAACGTCATGGGAAAACTTGACGTCATACAAATGAAAACTCAAAATGAAGATTATTCTGTTTCTTGTACGCTTCAAATTTAATTAATATCTCATTTAAATGAAGTGGTTATGCCCCACCTAGGGGCACTATGTTTTTTAGTTTGTGTGTCCGTCCGTTTGTCTGTCCCACTTCAAGTTAAAGTTTTTCAGGTTAAAGTTTTTGGTCAAGGTAGTTTTTGATGAAGTTGAAGTCCAATCAACTTGAAACTTAATACACATGTTCCCTATGATACGATCTTTCTTATTTTAATGCCAAATTAGATTTTGACCCCAATTTCACGGTCCACTGAACATAGAAAATGATAGTGCGAGTGGTGCATCCGTGTACTATGGACACATTCTTGTTGAGGTATGTGTTATTTCATTTTATATTCTATTGCATTAATCGAGCATTAATGAATTTTAGAAAGTCAATATGCCGGCTTTCTCCTTAGTTACGAAATGTCAATTGTGCATTTGATGGTAAATAGTAGCCAATGTACCAAAAATTGTTAATTGAAAATTGCAAATGTTTGGGTTAAGAATTATAAGGATTAAACACATTTTTTTCTAGAGGTTCTTGGTGGGTTAACTGGGTCGCTGACTCACATACTTTACATGAAAGTCCTTCGGGCTTTTCAGTCGGAAAGCAAGCCCTTTGAAACAACCGTTGTTGCTACTTTCTAAAGACAACAATGGGACTGATATAAAAACCCGCCATTCTGAAGCCGCGTTTTTTCGGGGGAAAATGAAATTGGCGACAACTTAGAAATTTTCTGTTTTCCGTTTCTTACATCCCGTTGGAGTCAGAAATTGATGTCCTAAGCATGTGTCTTGTTATAATAGAACATATAATTCAAATTGACCGTCCTTAAACAAATACGTTGAAAATTATGCGAATTGTCTGTTTGTTTTTTTCTACCATTTTCACAGATAAACTTGCATTATATAAATTCTACAGAAGTATAAAAAATTAATACGTATCTTAAACTAAAACAACTATTTAAAGTCTAAAGATCTGTCACCACTTACGAAACCCCGTTTGAACTAAATTCCGAAGAAAAGATATTTTTGGCATTGTAGTTTTTTTGTCTCGCACATCGATGTCAACATGCATGTGAACCGAATGTACACAACCTTTAGTGTGTTTCAAAATACACGTTTGTTTGAAAAAGCGTTGGAGAATTCAGCTGTGAATTTGACTGGATAAATAAAGGCAACAGTAGTATACTGCTGTTCAAAAGTAATAAATCGATTAAGAGAAAACAAATCCGGTCTACAAACTAAAACCGAGGGAAACATCTCAACTATAAGAGGAAAACAACGGAACAACAGAAACACTGAACTGCAACGAAAACAAACGCCAACATATATAGAAACGGACATTTGATAACAACTGCCATATTCCTGACTTGGTACAGGTCATTTTAAGAAAAAATGACGGGTTGAACCTGGTTTTATGGCTAGGCAAACCTCCCGCTTATATGGCAATGTTAAAAAATATCACTAAAATGACAACACTACGTGACAGGAATACAGTACCAAAAAACGCAAGAAAAATCAGCACAGAGAAATGCATAAATACATAAAACAATAGTACATTACAACATGTAAACCGCAAAATAACAACGGACATCTCCCATTAACGACAGCACAGGACACCACAAACTGCACGTCACATACATTGATCAACGCCATAAAACGTGACGTATTTTTGTGACCTATATATAAAGTTGAAATGCATACAATTATATGGTAAATAACTTCTTTTAGTTAAATGTTTGACGTTAACTAAAAAAAAAAGGGTATGGGAATTTTCTACTGTCTGCACAAGCTAAAATCAAGTTGAATGGAAAAAATCTTTCAGAAACTCAGATTTATTCTTGATGTATATATTTCATTAAGTCTCCCAAACGAAGACTTATTGTTTTTGCTCAGTTCCTATTATTTTTATGTCACCCGTACGACAATGTCGGGTGACATATTGCTTTTCCTCCGTTTCTTTTTAGCTCACCTGGCCCAAAGGGCCAAGTGAGCTTTTCTCATCACTTGGCATCCGTCGTCCGTCGTCCTGCGTCCGTCGTCCGTAAACTTTTACAAAAATCTTCTCCTCTGAAACTACTGGGCCAAATTTGACCAAACTCGGCCACAATCATCATTGGGGTATCTAGTTTAAAAAATGTGTCCGGTGACCCGGCCAACCAATCAAGATGGCCACCATGGCTAAAAATAGAACATAGGGGTAAAATGTAGATTTTGGCTTATATCTCTGAAACCAAAGCATTTAGAGCAAATCTGACATGGGGTTAAAATTGTTTATCAGGTCAAGATTTATCTGCCCTGAAATTTTCAGATGAATCTGACAACCCGTTGTTGAGTTGCTGCCCCTGAATTGGTAATTTTAAGGAAATTTTGCCGTTTTTGGTTATTATCTTGAATATTATTATAGATAGAGATAAACTGTAAACAGCAATAATGTTCAGCAAAATAAGATCTACAAATAAGTCAACCTGACCAAAATGGTCAGTGGACCCCTTAAGGAGTTATTGCCCTTTATAGTCAATTTTTAACCATTTTTCGTAAATTTTTGTTATCTTTTACAAAAATCTTCTCCTCTGAAACTACTAAGACAAATTTAACCAAACTTGTCCACAATCATCATTAGGGTATCTAGTTTGAAAAATGTGTCCGATGACCCCGCCCGCGAATCAAGATAGCCGACATGGCTAAAAAATAGTACATAGGGTAAAATGCAGTGTTTGGCTCATATCTCTGAAACCAAAGCATTTAGAGCAAATCTGACGAGGATAAAATTGTTCATTAGGTCAAGATCTATCTGTCCTGAAATTTTCAGACCAATCAGGCAACACGTTGTTGGGTTGCTGTCCCTGAATTGGTAATTTTAAGAAAATTTTGCAGCTTTTGGTTATTATCTTGAATATTATTATAGATAGAGATAAACTGTAAACAGCAATAATGTACAGCAAAGTAAGATCTACAAATAAGTCAACATGACCAAAATTGTCAATTGACCCCTTAAGGAGTTATTGCCCTTTATAGTCAATTTTTTACAATTTTCATAAATTTTCCACTGTAACTACTGGGCCAAGTTCATTATAGATAGAGATAATTGTAAGCAGCAAGAATGTTCAGTAAAGTAAGATCTACAAACACATCACCATCACCAAAACACAATTTTGTCATGAATCCATCTGTGTCCTTTGTTTAATATGCACATAGACCAAGGTGAGCGACACAGGCTCTTTAGAGCCTCTAGTTTTTATTATGGCACCCTCAACGGAGTTGGGGTGACATATTGTTATTCTACGTTTCTTTTTTTTCTTATTATGGCACCTCAACGGAGTTGGGGTGACGTATTGTTATTCTACGTTTCTTTTTTTTCTTATTATTATGGCACCCTCAACGGAGTTGGGGTGACATACTGTTATTCTACGTTTCTTTTTTTTCTTATTATTTTTCTTGCACAAATTTTGTCCGCGCGAGTTCTTGGAATCCAATGGACCAATGTTGATGGAACTCTACTATAATGAGGACCCCCATGTAAAGTTGTGCACCTTGCTATGGAATGGTAAAAAATGGCCGCCGTTTCCATGGAAACAGCAAAAATGCCAAAAAAATCAAAGTGTTCCAAACTGGAAGAAACTCCACAGGAATGATAACTGGCATGTGCTGATTTGCAGTTTGACTTCGGAATTTTCAAAATGGCCGCCGTTGTCATGGAAACTGGGGGCAAGTTTTACATTGACCCTATGGGAAAATGTATAAAATCAGCATTTTCTTAAAGAGTATTTCACCAAAATCAATGAAACTGTATTGATATATAACATGACATGTGGCAACGAGATGTCTGCTTCTAGAATTTTAGTATGATCCACTGTGACCATGGAAACAGCAAAAATATCAAAAATTTCCAAAAAAATCAAAATGCTGCAAACTGTATGACACCTACAGAAATGGTAACTGGCATAGGCACAGTTGCATTTTGAAGTTGGAATTTTCAAAATGGCCGCCGTAACCATGGAAACAACAAAAATGTCCAAAATTTCAAAATCCTCCAAACTTAATAAAACTTTACAAAAAAGATAATTTGCATGTGTAGATGCACTCTTTGACTTTGGAATTTTCAAAATGGACGCCGCTCCCCTGGCAATGGGGGAAGGGTGCCATCCGCTATTGCTTGCAATGGCAAATCTAGTTATTTTTATTATTTTTCTTCCACACATTTTGTCCGCGCGAGTTCTTGGAATCCAATGGACCAATGTTGATGGAACTCTACTATAATGAGGACCCCCATTTAAAGTTGTGCACCTTGCTATGGAACGGTAAAAAATGGCCGCCGTTTCCATGGAAACAGCAAAAATGCGAATAAAATCAAAGTGTTCCAAACTGGAAGAAACTCCACAGGAATGGTAACTGGCATGTGCTGATTTGCAGTTTGACTTCGGAATTTTCAAAATGGCTGCCGTTACCACGTAAACAGCTAAAATGTCAAAAATTCTAACTCTTTCGTTATACGACCCAACTGGATTAAACTTTATGAAAATGTTACCCGTTATGCTAAGATGTCAAGACAATATTTGGACAGTCCAAAATGGCCGCCGTTGTCATGGAAATTGGGGGCAAGTTTTACATTGACCCTATGGGAATATGCATAAAATCTGCATTTCTTAAAGAGTATTTCACCAAAGTAAATGAAACTTTATTGATATATAACATGACATGTGGCAATGAGATGTCTGCTTTTAGAATTTTGAAATTATCCACTGTAACCATGGAAACAGCAAAAATGTCCAAAATTTCAAAATAATCAAAATGCTGCAAACTGGATGAAACTTTACAGAAATGGTAACTGGCATGGGCAGAGTTGCATTTTGAAGTTGGAATTTTTAAAATGGCCGCCGTAACCATGGAAACAGCAAACATGTCCAAAATTTCAAAATCCTCCAAACTTAATGAAACTTTACAAAAATGATAATTTGCATGTGTAGATGCACTCTTTGACTTTGGAATTTTCTAAATGGCTGACGCTTGCCTGGCAATGGGGGAAGGGTGCCATCCGCTATTGCTTGCAATGGCAAATCTAGTTATTTTTTTTTTCTTCCACTTTTTTTGTCCAGCTTATATCTCAGAATTGTATGAACCAATGTTAATGGAACTATACCATAATGTTAACCAGCATGTGCAGATTTGCAATCGGGGTATGGAATTTTCAAAATGGCCACCGTTACCATGGAAACAGCAAAAATTTCCAAAATTTTAAAGTGCTCCAAACTTAATGAAACTTTACAGAAATGTTAACTGGCATGTGTAGATGTTCTGTTTGACTTTGGAATTTTCAAAATGGCTGCTGTTACCCTGGCAATGGGGGAAGGGTGCCATCCGTTATTGCTAGCAATTACAAATCTAGTTATGGCACCCTCAACGGAGTTGGGGTGACATATTGTTATTGTTCGTTTCTTTTTTTCTTATTATTATGGCACCCTCAACGGAGTTGGGGTGACATACTGTTATTCTACGTTTCTTTTTATGGCACCCTCAACGGAGTTGGGGTGACATACTGTTATTCTACGTTTCTTTTTTTTTCTTATTTTTCTTCCATACATTTTGTCCGCGCGAGTTCTTGGAATCCAATGGACCAATGTTGATGGAACTCTACTATAATGAGGACCCCCATGTAAAGTTGTGCACCTTGCTATGAAACGGTAAAAAATGCCCGCCGTTTCCATGGAAACAGCAAAAATGCCAAAAAAATCAAAGTGTTCCAAACTGGAAGAAACTCCACAGGAATGTTAACTGGCATGTGCTGATTTGCAGTTTGACTTTGGAATTTTCAAAATGGTTGCCGTAACCATGGAAACAGCTAAAATATCAAAAATTCTAACTCTTTCGTTAAAAGACCCAACTGGATGAAACTTCATGAAAATGTTATCCAGTATGCTAAGATGTCAAGATAATATTTGGATAGTCCAAAATGGCCGCCGTTGTCATGGAAACTTGGGGCAAGTTTTACATTGACCCTATGGGAAAATGCATAAAATCAGCATTTTCTTAAAGAGTATTTCACCAAAGTCAGTGAAACTGTATTGATATACAACATGACATGTGGCAATGAGATGTCTGCTTCTAGAATTTTGGAATTATCCACTGTAACCATGGAAACAGCAAAAATGTCCAAAATTTAAAAAAAAATCAAAATGCTGCAAACTGGATGAAACTTTACAAAAATGGTAACTGGCATAGGCAGAGTTGCATTTTGCAGTTGGAATTTTCAAAATGGCCGCCGTAACCATGGAAACAGCAAAAATGTCCAAACTTTCAAAATGCTCCAAACTTAATGAAACTTTACAAAAATGATAATTTGAATGTGTAGATTCCCTCTTTGACTTTGGAATTTTTTTAATGGCGGCCGCTCGCCTGGCAATTGGGGAAGGGTGCCATCCGCTATTGCTTGCAATGGCAAATCTAGTTTTTCTTATTTTTCTTCCACACATTTTGTCCGCGCGAGTTCCTGGAATCCAATGGACCAATGATGATGGAACTCTACTATAATGAGGACCCCCATGTAAAGTTGTGGACCTTTCTATGGAATGGTAAAAATGGCCGCCGTTTCCATGGAAACAGCAAAAATGGGAAAAAAATCAAAGTGTTCCAAACTGGAAGAAACTCCACAGGAATGGTAACTGGCATGTGCTGATTTGCAGTTTGACTTCGTAATTTTCAAATGGTCACCGTTACCATGGAAACAGCAGAAATGTCAAAAAATTTCAAAATGCTCCAAACTTTCTGAAAATTTACAGAAATGTTAAGTGACACATCAAGAGTTGGTATTCGACTTTGGAATTTCAAAAATGGCTGCCGTTTCCATGGAAACAACAAAAATTTCAAAAATTTCAAACGCTCCAAAATTGATGAAACTTTACAACAATGTCAATAGACATCTGTAGATGCACTCTTTGATTCTGGAATTTTCTAAATAGATGCCGCTCGCCTGGCAATGAGGGAAGGGTGCCATCCGCTATTTCCTGCAATGGCAAATCTAGTTATTATGTCACCCGATCGACAATGTCGGGTGACATATTGCTTTTCCTCCGTTCCTTTTTTTTATTAAGTCGCCAAAACGGAGTTTTGGGGACTTTATGTTTTCGTCCCGTTTCTTATTATTATTATTATTATTATTATTATTATTATTATTATTCTTAACCCTAATTTGTCCGACCATTTTCTTCAAAGCCTTAAATGATGGAAACTTTATATTTGGTATGATGTTGGGGTAGTATCTCTAGGGGTGCATTCACTATTTTTTATTTCAAATTGGGGTCAAGTTGGCATCCGTTATTGCTAGCAATTACAAATCTAGTTATGGCACCCTCAACGGAGTTGGGGTGACATATTGTTATTGTTCGTTTCTTTTTTTCTTATTATTATGGCACCCTCAACGGAGTTGGGGTGACATACTGTTATTCTACGTTTCTTTTTTTTCTTATTTTTCTTCCACACATTTTGTCCGTGCGAGTTCTTGGAATCCAATGGACCAATGTTGATGGAACTCTACTATAATGAGACCCCCATGTAAAGTTGTGCACCTTGCTATGGAATGGTAAAAAATGGCCGCCGTTTCCATGGAAACAGCAAAAATGCCAAAAAAATCAAAGTGTTCCAAACTGGAAGAAACTCCACAGGAATGATAACTGGCATGTGCTGATTTGCAGTTTGACTTCGGAATTTTCAAAATGGCCGCCGTTGTCATGGAAACTGGGGGCAAGTTTTACATTGACCCTATGGGAAAATGTATAAAATCAGCATTTTCTTAAAGAGTATTTCACCAAAATCAATGAAACTGTATTGATATATAACATGACATGTGTCAACGAGATGTCTGCTTCTAGAATTTTAGTATGATCCACTGTGACCATGGAAACAGCAAAAATATCAAAAATTTCCAAAAAAATCAAAATGCTGCAAACTGTATGACACCTACAGAAATGGTAACTGGCATAGGCACAGTTGCATTTTGAAGTTGGAATTTTCAAAATGGCCGCCGTAACCATGGAAACAGCAAAAATGTCCAAAATTTCAAAATCCTCCAAACTTAATAAAACTTTACAAAAAAGATAATTTGCATGTGTAGATGCACTCTTTGACTTTGGAATTTTCTAAATGGCTGCCGCTTGCCTGGCAATGGGGGAAGGGTGCCATCCGCTATTGCTTGCAATGGCAAATCTAGTTATTTTTTTTTTCTTCCACTTTTTTTGTCCAGCTTATATCTCAGAATTGTATGAACCAATGTTAATGGAACTATACCATAATGTTAACCAGCATGTGCAGATTTGCAATCGGGATATGGAATTTTCAAAATGGCCACCGTTACCATGGAAACAGCAAAAATTTCCAAAATTTTAAAGTGCTCCAAACTTAATGAAACTTTACAGAAATGTTAACTGGCATGTGTAGATGTTCTGTTTGACTTTGGAATTTTCAAAATGGCTGCTGTTACCCTGGCAATGGGGGAAGGGTGCCATCCGTTATTGCTAGCAATTACAAATCTAGTTATGGCACCCTCAACGGAGTTGGGGTGACATATTGTTATTGTTCGTTTCTTTTTTTCTTATTATTATGGCACCCTCAACGGAGTTGGGGTGACATACTGTTATTCTACGTTTCTTTTTATGGCACCCTCAACGGAGTTGGGGTGACATACTGTTATTCTACGTTTCTTTTTTTTTCTTATTTTTCTTCCATACATTTTGTCCGCGCGAGTTCTTGGAATCCAATGGACCAATGTTGATGGAACTCTACTATAATGAGGACCCCCATGTAAAGTTGTGCACCTTGCTATGGAACGGTAAAAAATGCCCGCCGTTTCCATGGAAACAGCAAAAATGCGAAAAAAATCAAAGTGTTCCAAACTGGAAGAAACTCCACAGGAATGTTAACTGGCATGTGCTGATTTGCAGTTTGACTTTGGAATTTTCAAAATGGTTGCCGTAACCATGGAAACAGCTAAAATATCAAAAATTCTAACTCTTTCGTTAAAAGACCCAACTGGATGAAACTTCATGAAAATGTTATCCAGTATGCTAAGATGTCAAGATAATATTTGGATAGTCCAAAATGGCCGCCGTTGTCATGGAAACTGGGGGCAAGTTTTACATTGACCCTATGGGAAAATGCATAAAATCAGCATTTTCTTAAAGAGTATTTCACCAAAGTCAGTGAAACTGTATTGATATACAACATGACATGTGGCAATGAGATGTCTGCTTCTAGAATTTTGGAATTATCCACTGTAACCTTGGAAACAGCAAAAATGTCCAAAATTTTAAAAAAAATCAAAATGCTGCAAACTGGATGAAACTTTACAAAAATGGTAACTGGCATAGGCAGAGTTGCATTTTGCAGTTGGAATTTTCAAAATGGCCGCCGTAACCATGGAAACAGCAAAAATGTCCAAACTTTCAAAATGCTCCAAACTTAATGAAACTTTACAAAAATGATAATTTGAATGTGTAGATTCCCTCTTTGACTTTGGAATTTTTTTAATGGCGGCCGCTCGCCTGGCAATTGGGGAAGGGTGCCATCCGCTATTGCTTGCAATGGCAAATCTAGTTTTTCTTATTTTTCTTCCACACATTTTGTCCGCGCGAGTTCCTGGAATCCAATGGACCAATGATGATGGAACTCTACTATAATGAGGACCCCCATGTAAAGTTGTGGACCTTTCTATGGAATGGTAAAAATGGCCGCCGTTTCCATGGAAACAGCAAAAATGGGAAAAAAATCAAAGTGTTCCAAACTGGAAGAAACTCCACAGGAATGGTAACTGGCATGTGCTGATTTGCAGTTTGACTTCGTAATTTTCAAATGGTCACCGTTACCATGGAAACAGCAGAAATGTCAAAAAATTTCAAAATGCTCCAAACTTTCTGAAAATTTACAGAAATGTTAAGTGACACATCAAGAGTTGGTATTCGACTTTGGAATTTCAAAAATGGCTGCCGTTTCCATGGAAACAACAAAAATTTCAAAAATTTCAAACGCTCCAAAATTGATGAAACTTTACAACAATGTCAATAGACATCTGTAGATGCACTCTTTGATTCTGGAATTTTCTAAATAGATGCCGCTCGCCTGGCAATGAGGGAAGGGTGCCATCCGCTATTGCCTGCAATGGCAAATCTAGTTATTATGTCACCCGATCGACAATGTCGGGTGACATATTGCTTTTCCTCCGTTTCTTTTTTTTATTAAGTCGCCAAAACGGAGTTTTGGGGACTTTATGTTTTCGTCCCGTTTCTTCTTCTTATTATTATTATTATTATTATTATTATTATTATTCTTAACCCTAATTTGTCCGACCATTTTCTTCAAAGCCTTAAATGATGGAAACTTTATATTTGGTATGATGTTGGGGTAGTATCTCTAGGGGTGCATTCACTATTTTTTATTTCAAATTGGGGTCAAGTTGGCATCCGTTATTGCTAGCAATTACAAATCTAGTTATGGCACCCTCAACGGAGTTGGGGTGACATATTGTTATTGTTCGTTTCTTTTTTTTCTTATTATTATGGCACCCTCAACGGAGTTGGGGTGACATACTGTTATTCTACGTTTCTTTTTTTTCTTATTTTTCTTCCACACATTTTGTCCGTGCGAGTTCTTGGAATCCAATGGACCAATGTTGATGGAACTCTTCTATAATGAGGACCCCCATGTAAAGTTGTACACCTTGCTATGGAATGGTAAAAAATGGCCGCCGTTTCCATGGAAACAGCAAAAATGCGAAAAAAATCAAAGTGTTCCAAATTGGAAGAAACTCCACAGGAATGTTAACTGGCATGTGCTGATTTGCAGTTTGACTTTGGAATTTTCAAAATGGTTGCCGTAACCATGGAAACAGCTAAAATATCAAAAATTCTAACTCTTTCGTTAAAAGACCCAACTGGATGAAACTTAATGAAAATGTTACCCAGTATTCCAAGATGTCAAGACAATATTTGGATAGTCCAAAATGGCCGCCGTTGTCATGGAAACTGGGGGCAAGTTTTACATTGACCCTATGGGAAAATGCATAAAATCAGCATTTTCTTAAAGAGTATTTCACCAATGTCAATGAAACTGTACTGATATATAACATGACATGTGGCAATGAGATGTCTGCTTTTAGAATTTTGGAATTATCCACTGTAACCATGGATGCAGCAAAAATGTCCAAAATTTCAAAAAAATCAAAATGCTGCAAACTGGATGAAACTTTACAGAAATAGTAACTGGCATAGGCAGAGTTGCATTTTGAAGTTAGAATTTTCAAAATAGCTGCCGTAACCATGGAAACAGCAAAAATGTCCAAAATTTCAAAATGCTCTTAACTAAATGAAACTTAACAAAAAAGATAATTTGCATGTGTAAATGCACTCTGACTTTGGAATTTTCAAAATGGCTGCCGCTCGCCTGGCAATGGGGGAAGGGTGCCATCCGCTATTGCTTGCAATGGCAAATCTAGTTAAGTCGCCAAAACGGAGTTTTGGGGACTTTATGTTTTTGTCCCGTTTCTTATTATTATTATTATTAAGTCGCCAAAACGGAGTTTTGGGGACTTTATGTTTTTGTCCCGTTTCTTATTATTATTATTATTATTATTATTATTATTATTATTATTATTAACCCTAATTTGTCCGACCATTTTCTTCCAAGCCTTAAATGATGGAAACTTTATATTTGGTATGATGATGGGGTAGTAGCCCTAGGGGTGCATTCACTATTTTTTATTTCAAATGGGGGTCAACTTGGCACTATTTGGGGGCCGGAACATGGGTGGGGTCATTTTTCGAAAATGGATTCGCTACTGGTAGAACTAGTAGGGTGCCCAGTCAACAAATTTGATCGATTTGGGTTAACGGAATAACACACGGCTATATTTTATATCAATGGAAAGAGGAGAACAAGCCTCGTCGAAATATTGATGTCGTCGTTGTCTACAGTGGTCACGATTTTCTTAAATTTGGGTCAAAGGTCAAATCTAAAATTTCAAGGAAAACGTAGAGTCACGTTTAGACAGCTGGCCACCCCTACATATTTGCGTTTATAGCAAAATAAATTCTAATAATTCAAAGGATTATAACTATAGTTTCAATATTTATGACTAATTTGATAATTTTATTTCCAAGTATGGTTCGAGATTGACATTTGTACTGATAGGGTGCACATTTACAATTTTCATTCAGCTGTTAAATAACAGTGACCTTGACCTTTTAAAAGTTCCAAAATCGGAATTTTTACATAAGATTCGATACAAGTGATCAATAGAGATGTTTTTTTAGATATTAACATTTATAAGTTGCCCTCTCAAAATATTATTTTTTCCGTCTTTTGATAGAAGGTGTTCGTCATGATTTTCTGGGTAAATATCCAATTTTCTTTTGGTGAACGTGGACGCACATCAAATAGTACTTAGTTCCAAAACTGATGAATATTAACGCAGAATTGATTGAATTAGCAGGTCTGAGTATATATTTGCTTTACAGAAATAAAAAAAAAAACTGCAAACGGTGAAAAAGGGGGAGGGTTTCTGTCACAAGTTATGAAAACAAAATGAGAATTAGAAACAGCAGGCTAATCACTCCATCTTACACACTTATATCAAGTGTAATGTACATGACTTATCAAACATAAATTGGCCTTCAATTGACATGCAGTTAAAGATTATCTACAAAAAGAAAGTTTTGTACAACGTCGATGTATTTTACAAACACTTGTAAACAACATCAATCTAATTAAAATATATCTCTGATTTCGTTATCCTCATTTAAGCTTATATATAAGAGCACGCGAGTTAATAAAGATCAGAATTTTAATAAGAGCGAAACAACATAGAAAAAATTGCCGAAGCTAGTAGTAGCTATAACGTTGTAATTTCATTGTCTACTGTTAAGTTGAAAGCCCCACCGACTAGGTTTAGGTAAGAGAGCTAATTTCAGTTGTTCTTTTTTTAAATCGCATTCGACGCAAGTAGCAGAATGCGAGGCATACAGAATACAATCTGATGGTGGTGGCGGCAACACCGTAAACTATTTGTATAGCTTTATATTTCAGAGGGCAGAGGAACTGGATGATTCATACTTTGTATATAGATCCACTGTGTTACGAAGTTTCCGTCATATAATCATTATCCTTGACCTCATATTCATGATTAATTGACTTCTAAAAAACTGTATAGCTTTTTTCGTCATGTGAATGTTTTTACGGTAATGCTGTTTATGATCATACTTTTCTCAGACTATTGATGACGTCCTTTCATTAGTTTTCAGTAAGGGAACACCCATTTGATTTCGAAAACAGGGAGGGAATGAGGATTTTGAAAATGAATTACTTGGCCTGGTATGAACTGGAATAATTGACTTTGCGCAAGACAGGATGGGAATGAACACTCTTCAACATGAAATGCAGGATAGTTGATGATATCAATGTCTACAAAAGTGAAAATAAATTTTCGCGCCGCCAGCCCCATCCCTTTCTTCAGAATAAAAAATGTTCTACCCTAACGGCGAGTACTATTATATCGGTACTTTGTGTTTTTTGTCTTCATGTTAGTTGTTTTTGTGCTTCATGCCGATTTGATAAGTCAAGCCATTTCAAACTGTTTTTCAACAGATTTTTCTTATGCTGTGTTGTTATACCATTGTCCAGGTCAGGGGAGGGTTGAAGGATCACAAATATGTTTAACCCCTCCAAACTCTGTATATGTCTGTCCAAAATCAGGAGCCTGCAATTAAGTGGTTGTCGTTGGTTGCTGTCTGTTGTATCTGGGTTTTTTTTTGTTGCACGAACGGTGGTATATTTTTGTTGTCGTTCCCACCGAGAGGGATTTAGGTCGAAAACATCATACAAGACTTTTGATGTGCCATAATCCGGGTGTGAAACAAAACCGACCAATTTGATACTTTTACTACAATTATAACAAAATATTTATTCAATAAAAAGTTTAAAGTTTTGAAAAACAGACACAAAACAGGTTTCTTCGAACAAAGTGACAATCTACAAAATTTGCTGGCTATTCACAACAAATAAATCAACCACACAACAAGCAAAAAAGAGAAATGTTTTGAGTGACCTCTGTCCTTGTTAATGACCTAATAGTGTAGGCAACAACATGATTAATGGCACGAGATAATCCGTGTTTAATCAATACCAAAATGTTGACTTAATTTGTGTTTTTAATTGCTAATTTTTTCAAAACGATTTTTATTTCACGCATGAAATTTGACACACACATGCACTGTGTCTTATTGCTTAAATCAGAGTAAAAAATATTGTGATGATACACGTAATAATTTTGCTTTCGATGAAAAATGGGGTAAATTTCGGGTAAAATTTTACTCTTACTAAAATGCTGAAATACTTATAACAAAATCACTTAAATACTTTCCGATTTCGTTATGTGATATATTTAATATATAAACTATATAATAGGTACTGTTTTAACTACCAACAAAGAACGCAATAATTTTATTTTTCATGTTAAAGATTCCCCGTACAATACGGTAGCTGGTGGTACCCTGTTAAAATACGAAATTTAGAAAATCGTGACCACGGGAACTTACGACCACAATCATGATTGTAAAATATAATGATTTTCCTATAATGTGCAAAAAAAATCAGCCGTGTGTTATCCGTTAACTTAAACTCGTTAACTAGAGGACTTTTTGGACATTGGGCACCCTACTAAACCTTTAAGTTTGTGTAATACAAGAGACCGATGTCCAGGTGTCCATTCCACATTTTTTATTTCAGCCCGGGGTCGTCTTGGCATTTTTTAGGGGGTCAATTTTCATGGAACATTCTAGAACAATAGTCATGTGATTAGTCATGTGATAGTGTTGAATTATTCCTATGTACTTTTTATGTTATATAATGATAGATTATTACAAGTAGCACCATATGTAGCTGTAATTCGACTTTGGAATTTTTAAAATGGCCGCCGTTACCATGGAAACTGCAAAAATGTGAAAAATTTTTAATGAAATTTTACAGAGATGTTAACGAGTGTATGTAGATTTGGAATTTGACTTTGGAATTTCCAAAATGGCCGCCATTGCCATGGAAACAACAAAAATGCGAAAAATCTAGATTTGGTCCAATCTTTATGAAACTTGACAGTAATGTGACCTGTCATGTGTAGATGTGCCATCCGACTTTGGAATTTTCAAAATGGCTGCCATTACCATGGAAACTGCAAAAATGTCAAAAAATTCAAAATGCTTTAAATTTAATGAAACTTTACACAAATGTTAACTGTCTTATGTAGATGTGACATTTGACTTTGGAATTTCTACAACGGTCCGTAACCATGGAAACACGAATGCCTAAATTTGAAAATTGGTCCAATTTTTATGAAACTTGTAAGTAATGTGACCTGTCACGTGTAGATGTGATATCCGACTTTGAAATTTCAAAATGGCTGCCGTTACCATGGAAACAGTAGAACAATGGTTGGGGGCCGTTTTGGCGACTTTTGTGTTAGCATCCTAACACAGGATTACTTGTTAAGTCGCCAAAACGGAGTTTTGGGGACTTAATGTTTTTGTCCCGTTTCTTATTATTATTATTAAGTCGCCAAAACGGAGTTTTGGGGACTTTATGTTTTTGTCCCGTTATTATTATTATTATTATTATTATGTCACCCGATCGACAATGTCGGGTGACATATTGCTTTTCCTCTGTTTCTTTGTTATTATTATTATTCTTCCAATGATTTTTGTCCGGCAGTTTTTTTGGAGCCAATGGAACCAATATTAATGATAGTTCACTATAATGAGGAACACAAAATTTCGGGTTGCAGTAGGTCTTAGGAACATAAAAAATGGCTGCCGTTACCATGGAAACGGAACAAATGTGAATGAATCCAGTTTTTGGTTTTGGTGAACTATTTGGATATGCTTAAACTTAGAATCATTATATTTTAATACAATGTAGGTGCCCACTATATACTGGTGTCGGATGATTTTGGCAATCATTGGAACTACTATATTGCCATGGAAACTACACCAAAAATTTCAAAAATATCAAAATGCTCCAAACTTAATAAAACTTCACAGTAACGATGAGCAACATTGGAAGATGTGGCATTTGGAGTTAGAATTTCCAAAATGGCTGCTGTTACCATGGAAACAATGCAAAAAGGTCAAAATGCTCCAAAAACTTCAGGGTTTGGTGAATAATTTTGGTATGCTTTAACTTAAAATCATCAAATTTTTATAATTATATACAGGTTT